CAGCTCCTGTCCCGGTGTCACTGGGCTGGGGGTGGGGCCGCCCAGGAAACCAGCAGGTGTGGCGTGGGAAAGTCCCTCCAGCTTTCTACTGAAACATGGAATTTCCTGGCTTTAACCATTTCTTATCCACTGCCATCTGGGAGCTGGCCAGAGCTGGGCAGACCTCTCCAGCCTTCTCGGGAACTTGACCTGGGGATCTGGAGTCCGACTGGGCTGTTGGCACACCTGGGTCCAGCCTCAGCTGGTCTCTGAAGATCATGGGCGAACTCCCGAAGGTGTGTGAACCTCGGCGACCTCAGTGTCTGTATGGCACTGTGCAGTTCCCCAGGCATTCCCAAGTAGGCTGTCACCCTCACACCCGGCGGGGTAAATGGGACTGTCCTCAGGCCTTGGGTGAGAAGACCGTCTGGCAGGGGTCTGTGTTGTGCGCCAGGTCACCCTGGAGGGCATAACCTGGGCTCCGGCGCTTCCTCGCAGACCTCTGCAGGCTCCCTGGAAAGATGAGTCAGACCAAACTCCTAGAAGTGGCTGGCCGAAGGTCCTGGACCTCCCTGGGCTCCTGGGTGTGGGAGGCTGGCTTTCCCAGGCAGTTCTTCACTCGGTTAACTGGCCCAACCTGCTCTGTAGACTGTGGGCTGAGTTCCAAACGTCCCTGCTCCCTGCTCGGGCGAACCACAGGGAGATACAGAAATAGCAGCCCGCGGCCCACCACAGCCGCCCAGCCTCAGTGCCTGGCCTCTTTCGTGGCTCAGACCTGGGTTCTGTCTCCAGCACTTGGGAACTCAGAGCATCCTCTTTCTCCTTCCTGCCGGGGTGGTGGCGGCAGCCGGCTGCCTCTGTCTCTTTAAGAGAGAGAAGGAACGAAATCAGGAAGTGGGAGAGAGCGGAGAGCCGAGGGCTGAGTTCCTGGGGCCGCACAGAGCCGCCCATCTTCAGGTCTCCGAGACCTGCGGCCACCAGGGTGCAACGGGTGCGGCCCGTGCAGGACTGCAAGCCCTGAAAGTCTGGGGGTGCCACGCGGTCCCACAGCCTGCCCCTCACACAGCCGAGATGGGGTGAGTGTGCAGAGTCCACGCTGGGGGGAAGAGGGTTGAATGGGGGCCAGGGGGGAGCCAGGCAGCTGCAGGACAGCCATCAGCGAAGTGCCAGGGTGCTGGCCAGCTGGTGTCGGCTCTGCGGGCTCCTGACCCTCCCCATATCCATCTGAGGCTGCTGCCCCTCCCCCCGCCGAGGTGCCCTGTACCATCTCAGACGGGCACCCTTGCAAACGATGGCTTGGAGGCCTTGAGAGGGAGGGAGGGTTTGTTATGGTGCAGAGGAGAACCCCGGCGCTCCCTTCCAAGCGTCGGATGCCAGCCTCCAGCGCTGCCTCTCTAATTTCCTTTTCTGCCTTGCTTCTGGGGCTGACTCTCCCCGCTCCTAGGGTCCTGCTCGCGGGCTCAAGCCCCTGGGCGGTGGGAGTGGCAAGGACAGTCTCCTGGAGCCGGGGATCGTCTAGGCTGGAAAGCCCCGGCTCTGTGGGGAGGGCGACACAGGAAAGGGTTAAAGGGCTGGGGCCGGGAGGCCTGCGGTGGGGGCTGAGAGTCGGCAGCGCCCGGGGGCGCCGCTCACCCGCCCTCCTCTTTCCGGCGCAGCTCGGCTCCTGGACTGGCCACAGACAGAAAACACAGCACGCTCTTGCCGGCGAGAGTCTCGGCCTGATCCGGGCTGCGCAGGGCACAGGGTAAGTGCTTCTGGCCGCCGTCGCGCCTGGAGACGGAGCGGGAGCGGGTGGGGCAGCTGGTTCGCAGCACCGCCGCATCCGTCCCAGCACCGCCCTTCTGGGCACCCGCTGCTGCGCTGGGGGCCGCGGAGCACGCGCACCTGACCAGATGTGCTGCCGTCGGCTCCTGGGCACAGCCCTGGCGGGACCGGGAGAGAGCCCAGGGCACGCCAGCCCCGTGGGACTCTGCCCTCCGCGCCCCACTGCCCTTCCCCGCACCTACAGCTGCGCCAGGCCCCAGCACCAGCCCTGGGGAGGACTCCGAAGGAGCGGAAGCCTCCCCTGGCTGGACCGTTCGCCTTGATTTCAGGATATTCTACCTGGTTTCTCAGTCCCAGGCCCACGGGCTGACTCCTCCACAGCCTCACAGGGGAAAACCTCACCAGCTCATTTCTGCTGAGCTATTACCTTGTCTTCAGAGAGACTCATCCCCTCAGCAGCTTCTATAAAACACAAACACCAATCCGTCTTCTGAAACTGGAATTGACCCCTGATCTCTCCAAGCGGCCTCTGGATCAAGGGATTGACCTTCTTAAGATTCACTTTTTTTTTAAAAGGCTTACAGAGAGAAGACTCAAAGCTAAGGAGCCGTGGGATTGCAGGCATGGCGACCCTAAGGTTGACCACCTTTGAGATGGTAGAACAGGAAGCAGCCCAGGCTAGTCCGGAGCGGGTGGGGGCCCCTCTCATGCCCTCCCCAGTCATCCCAGAACACCAGCCCTGGGCCGCTCTTCAGAGCAGCCCTGAATGTAAATCCTGAGCCTGCTCTCTGCAGTCAATTGCTTGAGAGGAACTGGCCTTTGGGGAGAAGGGCGTGGGGGCAAATATGGGGAACAGAGCCCAGAGGGGTTTCAGATCCTCCCGAGGCTGCTGGAGCTTATGGATGTGATGGTCTCCTGCCTCCTCCGCCCCTCCACACACACACACACACACACACATGCATACAAGCTCACTCTCACACACACATACATGCTCACACACACACACACACCTGTGCATACATGCTCTCTCACACACACCCATACATGCTCACACACGCCTGTGCATACATGCTCACACACACCCATACATGCTCACACACCTGTACATACATGCACACACACCCATACATACAAGCTCACTCTCATACACACACATGCATACATGCTCTCACACACATGCACATACATGCTCACTCACACACACACCCATGCATACGAGCTCACTCACACACACACACATGCATACAAGCTCACTCTCACACACACATACATGCTCACACACACACACACACCTGTGCATACATGCTCTCTCACACACACCCATTCACTCTCACACACACATACATGCTCACACACACACACCTGTGTATACATGCTCTCTCACACACACACCCATACATGCTCACACACGCCTGTGCATACATGCTCACATACACCTGTACATACATGCACACACACCCATACATACAAGCTCACTCTCACACACACATACATGCTCACACACACACACCTGTGCATACATGCACACACACCCATACATACAAGCTCACTCTCATACACACACATGCATACATGCTCACACACACATGCACATACATGCTCACTCACACACACACCCATACATACGAGCTCACTCTCACACACACATGCTCACACACACCTGTGCATACATGCTCACAGACACCCATACATGCTCACACACACCTGTACATACATGCACACACACCCATACATACAAGCTCACTCTCACACACACACATGCATACATGCTCACACACACATGCACATACATGCTCACTCACACACACACCCATACATACGAGCTCACTCTCACACACACATACATGCTCACACACACCTGTGCATACATGCTCACCCACACACACGTGCATACATGCTCACCCACACACATGCATGCATGCTCACTCACACACACACACATGTGCCTGCATGCTCACACACACACACACCTATGAATACATGCTCATTCACACACAGACACACACACATGCATACATGCTCACTCACACACACCCATACATACAAGCTCACTCACACAGAGACACACATGCATACATGCTCACACACGTGCACACATGCTCTCACACACATGTGCATACATGCTCACACACACATCCGTGCATACATGCTCACTCACACACACACACACATGCTCTCACACACACTCACCCATACATACAAGCTCACTCACACACACACACAAACACACATGCATACATGCTCTCACACACACGTGCATAGACATGCTGTCACACACACATGTGTATACGTGCTCACTAACACACCCGTGCATATGTGCTCACGCACACACATACATACATGCTCTCTCACACACACACACTCGTGTATAAATGCTCACTCACACACACATACTCATGCATACATGCTCTCACACACACACACCCGTGCATACATGCTCTCTCTCACACACACACTTGTGTATACGTGCTCACTCTCACACACACACACCTGTGCATACATGCTCACTCACACACACACTCATGTATACATGCTTACTCACACACCCACATGCATACATGCTCACACACACACACTCATGTATACATGCTCACTCACACACACACACTCATGTATACATGCTCACTCACACACATGCACACATGCTCACTCACACACACGCTCCCTGCAGCAGCGCTTGCCTCCACGAGCAGTGCTGACCTGGCCAGGCTGGCCTGCTGGCCGTGGAACAGGAAGCGGTGGGCCTGGGAGCACTGGGGAAGGCCCCGGCTCGTGTTGCAATCCTGGAGATTTGCGGCGATGTGGGTGACGCTGTCTGACCTGGAGGCCTTCCTTCAAGCACTCTTTCTGCCTCCTGGGACAATCCCGGGCCTGGATGCCAAAACCCAGAACTCCCAGTGCCGAGGAGAGATGGCAGAGAAACAGGCTTGTCCCTGCAGAGTGGCCTGCCTGGGGCGGAGATGACAAGGCCGAGGGGAGTCGGGAGGGGAGAAAGCCCTGCGGGGGGCACGGGGCCAGGCTGTGTGCTGAGGGCCTGGCAGCGGGGCTTCTTTTGGGGGAAGTTACTCAATCTTCCTGTGCTTTCCACTTCTGCCCCTGCCTCCTGGCCTCCAGAGTGACTGTGTGGAGCCCCTCAACGGGGTGGTCCTGGGCACAGCTGCTGGCCGGGTCACCAGGGTCCATCCCGGGTCAGGGTGCTGCCCTGGACACCAGTGTGCTCTCTAGGGCGGAAGGCGGCGGCCAGCCTGCAGCGGGAGATGCAGAGCACCGTCAACTACCTGTGGCATACGGACGACCTGCTGGGGCAGGGGGCCACGGCCAGCGTGTACAAGGCCCGCAACAAGGTAGGGGCCCGCCCGGAAGTCGGTCCCCAGTGGGCGTCGGGGCTGGGGCTGTCTGGGCAGGCTCCTCTGATCTGCTCTGTCTGAGGCAGGGCAGGGGTGCAGGGGTCTGAAAAGGGCTTCTGGGGTGATGCCCATCGGGCGCACTTTGGGGCTGGAGAGAGAGGGACGAAGACGCGAGCCAACGTCCAGGGGAGCTGGTGGCAAATCTAGGAGCAGCAGGGGGCAGGGGGACCCGTTTGGATTTATCCTGCCTGTATCACATTGAGGGCTGTATTGGGTACATGAGACGCACTGCACCATCTTGGACTTAAAAGAGCTGAAGCCAGACGGGACGGTGCTGCTAACACCGGGGAGAGTTAGCTGCCACCGTAGTTATTGCCAATAGCAACAAGAGCAGTGACAACAAACCGTCCCCTGCAGGGTATCAGGTGTGCCGAGGTCCTGCCGTCTCCCAGTGCTGCGGGCAGGCTGGTTGTGGAACCCCTGGGAAGGGGAAGGAGCTGAGAGTGGGAGCCCCCATCCCCAACCAGGCTATCCTGGCTCGTCCCTGGGGTTAGCTCTTCTGAGTCTGAATGGAAACTGGGAGGGGGTGTGCACCCCGGGGTAGGGGTGCCACTTCTATTACCCCCCACGGCAGAAATCCGGGGAGCTGGTTGCTGTGAAGGTCTTCAACACGGCCAGCTACCTGAGGCCCCGCGAGGTGCAGGTGAGGGAGTTTGAGGTCCTGCGGAAGCTGAACCATCAGAACATCATCAAGCTCTTCGCGGTGGAGGAGACGGTGGGTCCGGTGCTCTGTCAGAGGAGCGCGGTCTTGTCTTTGACCCAGTCAGGTCACGGAATAATGGAGACTTGGGCATGCGCTCATCAGTGGCTCACCCAGAGAGGAGGAAAGGATGCCAAGGGGCTGGGGGCAGTGCACAGGAAAATCAGGCTGTGGAGTGGGGCCTAATCAAGGCAGGCTTCCTGGAAAAGGTGATCTTGGGCTCAGTTTGAGGTCAGAGGAGGGAAGGCCAGCTAGAAGTGGAAACCTATAAAATGGGGGCTCTGGGCCCGTGGCCGAGCCACCCCAGCTTGGGGAAGGAGAGAAGTGCCGTCCCCAAGACCCCGTCCCTCTCCCACAGGGGGCTGGCCGGCAGAAGGTGCTGGTCATGGAGTACTGCTCTAGCGGGAGCCTGCTGAGTGTGCTGGAGAGCCCCGAGAACGCCTTCGGGCTGCCCGAGGATGAGTTCCTGGTGGTGCTGCGCTGCGTGGGTGAGCCCCTCCCTGACCTCCGGGGCGTCCTCTCCGCATCCCAGGCCAGCCCCAGACCCCGCCCTCAGCGGCAGGCAGAGTCCCAGGGGGGTGTGGTGTTTCTAGAAAAAGCTTCCAGACCTGGGACAGACGCTAGTGAACAGACAGACCCCGAGGGTTTGCTTCCTGCAGATTGGCCGTTTAAAACTCCAGTTCCAGAACACAACTGAAGACTGGTTGTTCACCGTCGCTCATGACAGCACGATTCACAATGCTGCTGCTGTCAGTTGCCCAGTCGTATCTGATGCTCAGTGACCCCCTGAACTGCCTCCCTATCTCTCACCATCTCCTCCTGGCTATTGCTCTTGCCTCTTGGCTATAATGAATAGCAATAGCCAAAGGGCAAAAGCAATCCACACGTCAGAGAGATGAATGGATAAACAAAGTGTGCAGCGTGCAAGTGACGGATTAACTAGTTAGCCTTAAAAAAGAAAGAAATTCAGACACTGCTGAGTGAAAAAAGCCAGCCACACAAGGACAACTACTGTATGATTACTTTTATTCGAGGAACCTAGAGAGATTCAGTCTATAGCGACTCTAAGAAGAACGTGACTGCTGGGAGCTGAGGCTGAGGGTGTAGAGAGTGAGTGCTTCACGGGTGGAGTCCTGTCCAGGGCACTGACGGCGGTCTGGACATGCGCGATGATGCTGTGCTGCCATTCAATGTATTTAACGCCACTGACACGCACATTTAAAAATGGTTAAAATGCAAATTTTGCTAGATATAGTTTACCACAATTTAAAAAAAAGAAAAAGATGGGGAGTAACTGAGTGCCCTCCTCTGGGAAGCAGAGCCACCATCCCCCTCGGTTTCCCAGGGAACCGCAGACAACCCCGACACTCCACATCCTCGAGAGCCCTGTCCCTTGCCCCATGTCCATCTCTCTCCTCCTGCTGTTCCTGAGGCCCTGGGGACCCCTGGGTGTCATCCTCTGTCCACGTGGGTCCTTCCCCGGGACGGGCTCCGCCGCTTGGCCGGCCCCGGCTGGAGCCGCTAGCAGCCCTGCATCCGTGGCAGTGGCCGGCATGAACCACCTGCGGGAGAACGGCATTGTGCACCGCGACATCAAGCCTGGGAACATCATGCGCCTGCTGGGCGAGGAGGGCCAGAGCATCTACAAGCTGACGGACTTCGGGGCTGCCCGCGAGCTGGACGATGACGAGAAGTTCGTCTCGGTCTACGGCACCGAGGAGTACCTGGTGAGCACCTGGGACTCTCGGTGCCCCTCTGGGGGCCCCTTCCAGTCCCCCTGGGTCCAAGAGGGTCACCCCTCACCCCTAACCATAACCCCAGGACAATTCATTCTCTTCTCCAAGGCCAAAAGGTCAGTGCTGAGGCCTGCCCAGACCCCCTTCCAGGCCCCCTGCTAGGCCCCCTGCCCAGAACCCCTGCCAGGCCCCCTGCATACACCCCCTGCCCAGGCCTCCTGCCAGGCCCCCTGCATAGACCCCCTGCCCAGACCCCCTTCCCAGAACCCTGCATAGACCCCCTGCCCAGATCCCCTGCATAGGCCCCCTGTCCAGGCCCCCTGCAGACCCCCTGCCCAGAACCCTGCATAGACCCCCTGCATAGGCCCCCTGCCAGGCCCCCTGCCCAGACCCCCTGCATAGGCCCCCTGCATAGACCCCCTGCACACCCCCTGCCAGGCCCCGTGCCCAGACCCCCTGCATAGGCCCCCTGCCAGGCCCACTGCCCAGACCCCCTGCCCAGGCCCCCTGCCCAGGCCTCCCTGGTTCAATCAAGCCCTTGATGAGATCCTCGTGGAGGATGGAGCCCTGCTGCTCACCGCTTTCCCCAGAGCAGAGGCTGATAAGCCTGTGGCACACTCACTTTGGAGATGACCTAGGAGATGCATTCTGACGGTTCTGTTTCCTCCTGGAGGTGGGAGAAGGCAGTCTGAATGGGGGGGCGGGCGGGGGGCCAGGGTGCTCAGGCCCTCACCCCTCCCCCTCCCTGACTGTCTCTGGCTCCCTGGCGACAGCACCCTGACGTGTACGAGAGGGCGGTGCTCCGCAAGCCCCAGCAGAAAGCTTTTGGGGTGACCGTGGATCTCTGGAGCATCGGGGTGACCCTGTACCACGCAGCCACTGGCAGCCTGCCCTTCGTCCCATTTGGCGGGCCCCGGCGCAACAAGGAGATCATGTACGGTGATCACAGGGACCCACGGCGACCCACAGGGCAGGGGGTGGGCCTAGGCATCCCACTGGTCCCCGCTGGGCCCCCCATTCAGCCTCTGACTCCAGGCCCTCCAGGCCCACCCCCCAGCACACGCACACTTCCTTTAGATGCTTGGACATCGGTCTATCAGACAAGAAGCCAAGCCTTGTCCCCAGCCGATGGGAGACCACATCCCAGTCCAGGGCTTCCCTTGAGCCCCACCCCTACCCCATTTGGGCTGACCACATCTCAGCCCGGGTTCCCAAAGCAATCTGCCCAAGGTCACAAAGCCTTCCAGGGCAAAGGACAGGCGGGGGTGGGGGACAAGAATCCAGCCTCCTGATCCCAGGTCCCTTGGGGTTTCTTGCTGTCTCATCCAGAGGCTAGGGACTGTGAGTGCTCCCACTGAGAGCACCACCAGAGCAAAGAGGTTTAAAGTGGATTTGCAGAAAGGTCGATGCTCCTTCAGCTCAGAGGTCAAGCCGGGCAGAACCTGTGTTAAGTTAGGGAAAGGGAAAGGCCTGCCTTGGATGGAGGCTGGCAGGGTAGCTGGACTTCAGGAGGGGGGAGGGCGGACTGTGGGGTGCAGGGGAGGTGACTGGGACCAAGCCCAGCACAGGCACGTGGCGGAGGCAGGAGCATGGACTAGCGGTGAGGGGCAGAGGAAACAGAGAAGACAGCAAGTCTCCGAGCCTCCAGGCAGAGTCTGTCCTCCCTTGGAAGCGTGATGGGCAGGGTGGGGGGTCCTGATGACCTGGTCCTGCCCACCCCCCCAGGTACCGCATCACCACGGAGAAGCCAGCCGGGGCCATTGCAGGCACACAGCGGCGGGAGAACGGGCCCCTGGAGTGGAGCTACACCCTGCCCATCACTTGCCAGCTGTCCATGTGAGTGAGAGCCCGCGGGAGGGGAGCGCGGACCCCAGCCCGGCCCTGGGTCCTCCTCTTGCTGAGGCCTGGCCCAGTGGGAGCGCCCCTCTCCCTTCCCGGCCCCAGTGTCTCCCCGTGGAGTGGAAGACCCTTCTGGCTTTTCCTCCCCACCCCTTCGGTCCTGGCTCTCCAGGGCTTTCTCACCCGAGGCCCCATCGCCTCCTCCGGAGGTTGAGTCTGGCCCCGCCCCTGACTGTCCCCACACCCTGGGAGGCAGGGGTCTACAGAACCAGCTGGTGCCCATCCTGGCCAACATCCTGGAGGTGGAGCAGGCCAAGTGCTGGGGCTTCGACCAGTTCTTCGCGGAGACCAGCGACATCCTGCAGCGAGGGGTGGTCCACGTCTTCTCCCTGCCCCAGGCGGTCCTGCACCACGTCTACGTCCACGCGCACAACACGTGAGCGGATGCGTGCACGGGGCCACGCCCCCGCCCCTCCCCCCGCGCCCTCCCCAGGGCCCAGGGGCCTGTCCCGGCTGGCTCTGGGGCGGTTAGATACGAAGCTTCTGGGTCCAACCTCAGGTTGTGAAAGTACTTGTTCCATCAAGTTATCCAGTGTTCCTTGCTGGGAACTTGAGAGATTTAGCAACCTTTACAAAGCTGACGTCGGAGAAGGCGATGGCACCCCACTCCAGTACTCTTGCCTGGAAAATCCCATGGACGGAGGAGCCTGGTGGGCTGCAGTCCATGGGGTCGCACAGAGTCGGACACGACTGAAGCGACTTAGCAGCAGCAGCAGCAGCACAAAGCTGACGTGCATTAGAAACCTCCTGAGGGGTGTGTGCGTGTATGTGTGTGTGTGTGTGTGTGTGCGCGCGCAAGCTCACGCTCGGCACCAGTACACTCCCCAATGGATTGCTCGTAGAACCCTTTATTTCGGGAGTTGCTGGTGGCCTAGGTGAGTCCTCCTCCTGGGTGACCCTAGGGGATGAGGCTCCCTAGGGGGCGTGAAGGCAGAGGCTGGAACTGACTGTCTCCATCCGCTGCCGGACACCACCTCTACCCTTTGTCTCCCAGCCCTGGAGAGAAAATCACCCAGTCCCTCCCTCTGAGAAGCGGAGTCTAAGTCTCAGCTGCTGCGTGGGTCACCCTCGAGCTGATTCCTGCCTGTTTTCACCCCTCGCCTCCTCCTCTCCTGCCTGTTCCTGGTTTTCTAGGATAGCCATCTTCCTGGAGGCCGTGTACGAGCAGACCAGCGTGGCCCCCCAGCACCAGGAGTACCTCTTTGAGGGTCACCTGTGTGTCCTCGAGCCCGGCCTCTCTGCTCAGCACATCGCCCACACCACAGCAAGCAGCCCCCTGACCCTGTTCAGCATGGCCAGCGAGCCCCCCAAGGGGCTGGCCTTCAGGGACCGTGAGTAGGGCCACCCAAGCTGGACCTTTTCTCCTCCTCACTTTCTCTTCCAAGGGCCAAAGGCTTATATTCCAGGATATTGATTCATTTGCTTTGTGGGTATATCTTTGGGCCCCCGGGGTGTGGAGGCATCTCTGGGTTCTAATTCCATGTATGCCTCTGAAATGCTGTGGGACTCGGGCCGGTGGCCTGACCAACCTGCGTCATGGCATCCAGAGATCTGTGATAGAAACTCTTAAGGGAAACAGGGAGGGCTGGATTTCACCTGCTGTCCACAGTCCATGCCTGATGAGAAGCCTCTGAGTTTGTGTTGCAGGAAGCAGGGGCCCAAGCTGCTGGAGAGAAGGGCAGGCAGTCAGGGGCCCAGAGCTTTGTTCTGCAAATTCTAGCAAATAATCACTCCTCATTTGAATGATGCCAACTTCATGCTCCTCTTCAGGGTCCCCAAGGCTGGGAGGGGGATTCACCTTAAAACCCCCGAGTGTGAGGTGTGTTAGGCACTCAACTGCGTCCCATTCTTTGGGACCCGGTGGACTGTAGCCCGCCGTCAGGCTCCTCTGTCCATGGGATTCTCCAGGCAAGAATACTGGAATGTTGCCATTCCCTTCTCCAAGGGATCTTTCCCACCCAGGGAGTGAACCCGGGTCTCCTGCATTGCAGGTGGATTCTTTACTCTCAGAGCCACCAGGGAAGCCCCAGTTCGCTCAGTCCTGTGGGACTCTGCGACCCCACGGACTGGGAGGGGTGGTTTGAGTCTCCTTTCTTCTGCCTTGGCTGTCGTTCTCCAAAATGGGCACCAGGGGGCAGTGAGGGACTGCAGTTGTAAAAAAGCCGTGTGGCTGTGCAGTCACTTCAGTTCAGTTCAGTCGCTCAGTCCTGTCTGACTCTTTGCGACCCCATGAATCGCAGCGTGCCAGACCTCCCTGTCCATCACCAACTCCCGGAGTTTACTCAAACTCATGTCCATCGAGTCGGTGATGCTGTCCAGCCATCTCATCCTCTGTCGTCCCCTTCTCCTCCTGCTCCCAATCCCTTCCAGCATCAGGGTCTTCCAATGAGTTAACTCTTCAGGCAAGTCACTTAGTCATGTCCAATTCTTTGCAACCCCATGGACTATACAGTTCTTGGATTCTCCAGGCCAGAATACTGGAGTGGGTAGCCTTTCCCTTCTCTAGAGAATCTTCCCAACCCAGGTCTCTTGCACTGTGGGCAGATTCTTTACCTGCTGTGCCACCAAGGAAGCCATAAAAAGCACATTCAGGGCATTTAAGTCTTAGGAGGTGGGGCTCTAGGCAAGCTGGGAAGCTGGAGGTGGCCGATAGGAGGTGGGGGCCGAGTGCGACCTGGGACGGGGAAGATGCACTCAGACCTCGCCCTGGGCCAGACGGGCGTCCCTCTCTGACTGAGTCTTCATCCGCAGCTGCTCTGGACATTCCCAAGTTTGTCCCCAAAGTGGACCTGCAGGCAGATTACAGCACAGCTAAGGTGAGGGGGCGGCCCCCAGCTGGCAGGGAGGAGGGTTCCTGCAGGGTTGGGGTGCAGGACGTCACCCTGCCCCGCTGTGTGTTTCAGGGCATCTTGGGTGCCGGCTACCAGGCCCTGCGGCTGGCACGGACTCTGCTGGGGGGACAGGAGCTGATGGTTCGGGGGCTGCACTGGTTCGTGTGAGTGCCCTGAGGGCCGGGCGGGGCAGGGCAGGACTGGGCAGGAGAGGCGGGTGGGCGGGCAGGAGAGTCAGCCCAGACCCCCTTCGGCTCCACCCTGGGGCTGGGCCCTCGGTTCCAGGAAGGTGGTGGCTCTGATCGGGCTCCCTTCGGCAGGGAGATGCTCCAGGCCACGTGCAGGCGGACGCTGGAGGTCACGAGGATGGCTCTCCTCTTCCTCAGCAGCAGCCTCGGCACTGAGAGGTGGGTGTCCTGCCCGGGACGGGGCGCAGCGGGCGCGGGGCTGGCCCCTCCTCTCTGTCTGTTCCTCCCCCGGACTTTCCAACAGTGCCCTTCGCCTCCTCCCGTCCAGAGCTGCCGACCTCCCTGCCAGGGCACCCCCCGGCGCCCACCCTGCCACCCCCCCGCCAGCCGGCCGCACTTGCTTCCCCCGCCTACCAGTCCCTCCAGGGAGGGGGCTCCAAGGCAGGCCCCCTGCCTCCAGGAGAAGGGGCCTCTGTCCTCCCTGTCCCGCCTCTGAAAAGTGAGGCTCTCAGCTGCGCCGGGCCCTGGGGCAGGGCTCTGAGAGAAGCGCCCACACCCACACGGGGCCCTGGACCCACAGGACGGAGGTGCAGGCAGGCTCGTCCCCAGCATGCTCCTCCCACCTCCCCTGGGCCTCCATGTCCTCGCCTCCAAGGACGCCCTGCCCCAGTCCTGGGAGCTGCACACCCTCCACCCTCTGACTTGGGCCAGTTCAGGGTGATGGGCTGGAAAAGGGAGAGACTGGGGAGGAGGAAACGAGCCCCAGGAAGAGCCCAATGGCCAGCATGCTGCTGAACAGGTTCCCGCGCGCGGTGCAGCTGGGAGGGGGCCCTGCGGCCCGGGGAACCCACGGGTGGCTGGAGCCGCTCCTGGTGACGGGCGGTGACAGAGAGCAGAGGCTGTGCGGGACAGGCCTGGTCCCCCGCCCCTCGCCCCACAGCCCCTGTCCTCGGGAAGTCCTGGGAGTTCCCCAGAAGCAGGTCGGCACTGCAGACCTGCCTTCCTCCTGGCGCCCGGCGGCAGCAGTTCTGACAGTGGACAGACAGGGCGGTGGCCTTGCACAGAGCGGGAGGCGGGGGTCTCCAGATGAGTCCCTGGCATGGCCGAGCCCCCCCAGATGGTGGCAGAGACAAAGGGCTGCAGAAAGCGGGATCGGCTGGCGTGCTCTGGTGAAGCTCCTCTGAGCAGGGCTCTGTTTGGACACAGAGCAGGCCTCCAGGGACTTACCTGGAGGAGACAGCCCTTCCCTGGCACGTGCGGGTGGCGGGACGGTTTGGTAAAGCGAGACTAGAGATGGGTAGAAGAAACTAGGGAGGTCTTCCTGGAAGAAGTGAGACTTTTTAAGGCCAGAATGTGAGCAAATAGCTGAAGGCCCTGTGCAGGGAGAGAGAAGGGGGCCGTGACTAGAGGGGTGGGGAGGTGCTGACCCAATATAAAGCCCAAGATAATACAGTCTAGGTACTGAGTTACTGGTGATGTAACCAAATGCAGCGACTATAAGAGACTAGTACATGGATCCCACTTAGACCTTCTTAGGTACCATCTGGGAGTTGGGAGGTTGGACCGTGGTAAAATGAGCAGTAAGGATTTACCGTGGGTTCTTGAGTGGGAAGGAAATGTGCAGAGAGAGCATCTGGGTGTTTGCCCGTCTTCCCTGGGCTGAGAGTGCGGGCCCCAGGTAGCCCCAGAGCTGGAGTCGCAGAGTCTGCCGGCGTGGTTTCTCCCGCTGGGCTCCAGGTCTCCCCCGAGGTGTGGGCGTGGAGAGTTCAGGGCCAGGCGCAGGCCTGCTCTGGGGCCGGTTTCAGCCTCCTGGGAAGGAAGGTGCTGGCCTGGGCTGTTACTGAGCAGCTGTCCTCCGCCCACGGGCACCTTCCCGACCTGGGCCCCTGTTTCCACCTCCTCAAACTGAGAGGACTCACTGACCTCAGGGCCTCCCAGTCCTGTTCTTTGCGGGAGTTCTCAGGCCGGCAGGCTCTTCTGAGGTCTGAAGACAATAGCTGCCTCCCACAGAGAACCCGAAACAGTAGAGAGTGTATCGTGACTGAATCACGTGTTGGAAGAGCCCAGGCATGTGGCACAAAGGGGCCGTGGTCCCGGCCTGGAGCCTCGCCTCGCTCCCGGCACTCCACTGCTCTGGGCTCTGGAGATGCCCCAGCGCCCTGGCCTTTGTACCGAAGACCCCCTGCCATCAGCAGGTCCCGCTCAGGCCCCAGGGCTGACCGACATGGGGACTCCCAGGGCTTCCCCACCCCCAAAAAGACTGTGTTTGTGTGAATGTGTTCTTTGATCCCACAAACACCTTTTATGGGAGCAGGGAGGAGGTTTCTGTCCCCATTATATGGGTGAAGAGCCTGAGGCTTGGAAAAATAAAGTGATTACCCAGATCCTGCAGACAGGGGTGTGGCAGCCGGGGCTAGGACTCAGGTAGACTGGGTCCAGCTGGGCTGGGCAGACTCATCCTCTTCTGCACAAGTATCCCATGCCCTGAAATCCATCCCTGTGCTGAATAATCCATTCGACACTGTGTGGGGCGCCTGCCCATGCAAGCACTGCCTTAGACACTGCAGGTGTGGTGGTGCTTCCTTCAGGGAGCCCCCACCCACTCCTGATTCTCTCCAGTCCTCCTTCCTCCCCACCCCGCCCTCCCGTTCCCACACCAAAACACACAGGATTATCCTTCCCTAATTATTATGGTATAAAAATAGCATATTATGGTATGCTAATTGTACTAAGTTAGAAAATACAGACCAGCAAAAATGAACCGAAAATGCTGTGTCCTGCCACTGAAGAGGCATGATGTCCGCATACACCCTTCTCAGTGGTTTTGTTACCTGTGTGTGTTAACCAGCGTGGTGTTTCCCTGTACCTGCTATTTTATAGCCTGCTTTTCTCAGCTTATGACCCTCCAGGTCAGTACATTTCATCTATAGGGCGCCTCCATACTCAAGTTTCCCTAGTTATCCCCCAAGTGTTCTTTTCTGGCTGGCTTCACCCCAAACCAGGATCCAGTCCGAGACCCCGCTTGGCGTCTGTTACTGTTGTTGTTGTTGAGTCACTAAGATGTGTCTGACTTTGTGAGCCCGTGGACTGCAGCCACCAGGCTCCTCTGTCCATGGGATTCTCCAGGCAAGAACACTGGAGTGGGTTCCATGTCCTTCTCCAGGGAAACTTCCCCACCCAGGGATCAAACCCGCGTCTCCGGCTTGGCAGGCGGACTCTTTGCCCGTTTCTTACGTCTGTTTCCACCCTTCCCTCGAGGTTTAGCGGCGTGACCGGGGTGCCTGAGCTCCAGGAACTGAAGAGGACCACAGAGCTGAGGTCCAGGCTGCGGAATGTGAGTGTGGTGGGCTGATGGGCGGCCAGGAGCAGAGCTGAGAGCAGGGGTCTGGCTGGGCTCCCATCCGAGCCTCGCTGAGGACCCCGTGGGGTCTGCCTTCGTGTCCCCAGTTGGCTGAGGTCCTCTCCAGATGCTCCCACAATATCACGGAAACGCAGAAGACCCTGAGCGACCTGCGTTCTGAGCTGGTGAAGAACCGGGATCAGGTACATGAGGACAGAAGGTCTGTGGGATTTTCTTCTTGGCGGGCTGGAGGTGGGGCAAGGGTGGAGGCCGCAAAGGGCCCGGTGGCCCCATTAGAATTCAGCCTGCCTCCCCTCTTCTCTTGGCGAGGATGCCGGGGTCTGCGGGTCGGGGCGGGGAACCCAGGCCTGTCCACGGCCCTCCCGTGAGACTGCCAGAGGAGGCAAGGATCTGGGGTCCTGCCCCAGATGGGAGTTAGTGAATTACGAGTCTTAGAGGTGCAGTAGTTCTAATGGAAGAAACATCGCGTTCCCACCTCTTTGGAACCCTTGCTCTGGTCAGACCCTGGATTCCCACTCCTACTCCTCCCACTTCTCTCATCTCGTGTCATCTTCAAATCAGTAATGATACTACTACTCCTTCCCTCCTTTCATAGATGAGGGGGCTTCGTCCGCCCCGAGACACAGCCAAGAAATGACAAAGGGGAGGTGGAGGGCCCCAGGTCAGGTCTGCCTACCTCCAGAGCCCGTGTGCTTGGCCTGCACCAGGGATTTACCCCCCTGCCAAATCCCCAGTCTCTGTTCAGACAAACAGGAAAACCCCCGTCACCCCTTTCCCCACAGCCTGTGTGCGGAGCCCCTGCCTGCCTCTTGGGCTTTGACCAGGGCGTGGCCCCCTCCTCTAGCCCCCCACAGTCAGAGTCTGCACAGATCCACATGCCCAGGTCCCCATTTCTGAATTCAGAAAGCTCTGAACACCTCGGAGCTGATTCTTCACTGGCTTAGCTGCAGAACCCGACCTAAACTGACACGAGGCTCTTCCTGGTCTTTCTTTATCCCACTTAAGTGACTGTTCTTATGGTCCTGAAGGTTGAAGCTGTGTGATGATGGGGTGCTGCCCTAGACTGCCCCAGGGGGTTCCATGACACAGTGTATGCATGCTGACCCACCTTTCTCAAATCAGAGGGTGGGTCTGAATTTGAAACACTTCTGGCCCCAGCCTTTTGGGTAAAGACTGGACCTGGGATCTTGTCCACTCCAGATGCCAGTGGGGCAGGGTTCTAGGGTCCACAGGGTCCTGGGAACAAGCGTGGGCTCTCCAGAAACAGCTGAGACAGGGTCCCGGGAGGAGCTGCAGGGAGGAAGTAAAGCCAAACAGGCCGAGGGGTGGGGAAGAACTGTCCCCCACACACCCCAACCTCTCAAACAGGGGGTATCCTGAAAAAGAGAAGGAAGAAACAGTAATGGCCTTAAAGCCCGGCTTTAAGAGAGGATAGAGAGGTCACCTCCTGAAGTCCCCGTCTACAGGCGGGACCAAGGACCTGGATTCATCCTCGTTTCAAACAAGGGCTGTTGCTTCTTGATTTGAGTTCCTTCTCCGTGTGCAGAAGGCCCGACTTTGGCTCTTGCCAGGGACGGAAGTTCTTGCTGGGCTTCTGTTCTGGGGCCTCTCCTGTTCTGCGGCCCAGGGCTCCTTCCCAGAACCTCTTCTCAAGCCCTGTTTGGCTCAAAGGCCACCTTCCTGCCACGCGTCCTGCCTGGCTTCTTCCAAGTGTGAGAGAGAAAGAGAGAATAAACACAGGAATGAGAAATGACTAGCTAACCAGAAGATGCCTCAAACAAACTTAGAAACAAGAGTCACCCCCACTCTCAGACTGGCCCCCAGAACTGTGGCCCCCCCAAAACGCAGCTCCTTCTGCAGGGAGACAGCCCCCTTCCCCCACAGCCGTCCCCTCCCCGCCCTCACCCTTGACCCGTGCGGTTTGATTCTTCTGTCTCCTGCCCACAGCATCCAGCAGATTCAGTGTTGTTTAGACAAGATGTACCTCATCTACAAACAGTTCAAGAAATCCAGAATGAGGCCAGGTGAGCCGCGGGGAAAGCAAACCCCCCTCCTCTCCCCTCCCTCCTTCCCTCCAGTTAGCTGGCCGTTCCTAATGCCGCAGCAGCATCGGGTGGTGCAGCTGGCCTGGGGTACGGGGGTGGAGAGGCGTGGGGGGCTCCCTGCAGACCACTGAGGGGCCTGCGCCGGTTGCCCCGTGGGGGCTCCGCTGAGACCTGGGTGCTACAGGAGAGGTGGCCTGACCTAGACCCTCATCTTCGCAGAGCACGTTACAGTTTAAGAAGTGTCTCCCTGACCATGGGTCTCTGGCTCACTAAAGTTGTCAAGCTTTCCAGAAAGGGGAGGATGGGGAGAAATAGCAGTTAGCATCACTGGTCCAGGACGGGGAGCCTGGGGAGGCCCCAGCTGACTTGTGGGGTTAGGGAGGTAACACACCCCAGGAACTGACCCTCTCGCCCACATGCCGCTAGCATTTCCTCATGGGCAGGAAATCGACATTTGAGGGCTCAGGCTTGATTGCAAAGCTCTCTTCCACCCCTAGGAATATCTAAAAAGTACTGTCCCATAGAAATATAACGCCAGGCACAGTTGTAATTTTAAGTTCGCTAGTAGCCAAAATTTAAAAAGTAGAAACAGGTGAAATTTGCTTTAATAACATATTTTATTTCACCTAATATATTCAAATTGTCATTTCAGCATGTAATCAATGGAAACAATTATTAAAGAGATATTTTACAGTCTTATTCTGTGCTAAGTCTTCACAGTCCCACGTGTATTTTACACTTACTGGGCATCTCTATTCAGAAGCTAATTTCTTTAACAGAATTACATGTACTTTTACCAAAACAATAAAGCTGTGTTTGATAGGGAAAAAACGTTGAACACTGCTTTAGTTTTTAAATTTAATCGAATTTGTTAAGTTAAAACAAAAATTCAGGTTCTCCGTCATATTAGCTGCATTGGCCACACTTCAAGTTCTAAGTAGCCACACGGCCACCTTATTGGACATGCAGTTTCTGAAAGATGATGATCTCTCCTTGGGAGCCTCGGTCCTGCCTCTGGGTCTGACCTTGGAGGGAGTACAGCTCAGGAGATGGGAAAACCAAGACTGCCCTGTTCCCTGAGGCCAGGGGGCTGTGGGCTCAAGAAGCCTGCTCTGACACCCAGTTGACCACCTTTGCTGTGATGTTAGGAGCCCTCCGGAGGTTTCTCTGCCTGCATCATTGGAATTCCGTCATCCTGTGACCACTACACTTCTGAGCACCTCCTGGGCACTGTCCTATGGGCTGTGCATATTTTTAAAAATTTATGTGATGCTCATAAAAACCGTAAGACACTGTTAACCTCCCCATTTTATAGATAAGGAAACTGAGACACAGGAAGTTAAGTAGCCCAAGCAACCTGGGTCCAACTGCTTTGAGCCACCCCATTTTACAGCCTCGAGAAGAATTTCACTTTTATCAGTGAGTCCTTTATTAAAGTGTATAAAGAACCTGGATGAATAACACTTCACTGCCAACACCTGGGGAAAGATGGAATTGTGGAAAATCTCCTGTCATTTTCAGGGCACTTTGTCACTTTACCTTCACTCCCATCCTGTGTGTTACAAGTGATGGATAAGGCAAAATCAACTGCCTACAGCATAGCCCTGCTATGATAACAGGAAGGAGGCAGGCCCAGGCCTTGTCCCAGGTCGCCTGGACCTCACGGTCAGCTAGCTGAGCTCCGGGCCCAGGACAAAGAGGCCAGGGAGGCGATTCCGCTATCAGGGGAGTGATGGGGGTGGGCAGCAAGAGACCCCCAGCTACAGGAACCTTATCACGTCATGTTTCTGCCACAACCAAAAGCCGTTCCCCTGGAGTCCAGGAGAGGGCAGCACCTCCCTAGTGCAGAGAGCACTAGGCTGCAGCCAAGGCAGCAAGACGCCCAGCCCTGCTGGCAAGAGTGCTGTGCTGGAAAGGGAAGGTCAGAGGTTGTGGCCTGGCTCAGACGACCCCTTGCTGCAGAGCCCAGATGTCTGCAGCCCGAATATTCAGGGATGGGGCCCACCAGCTGTTGGCATCTGCCTTGCTGGGAGGAGGACTGGATGAGGGGTCAGGGCTGACCACACGTCCTTCAGGGCCTATCTCATCTGCCGGTCCCCATCTGGCGTGGTCCCTGGGCGCCCCAATGCGTGGGCTTGCCTGGCCCGGGGGCGGGGGGGGGGGGGGGCTCCGCCTGCTCATAATGCAGGGTCTCGGGTGCTCGTCTCCTGGCTCCGCGGGGCTGGGAACGTCAGGCAGGGCCCAGGCCGCCGCCGTCACCCTTGCAGTTCGCCTGGCCCTCGCGCCATTCTGCTCTGCTGACCGATCGCATAGGTGACCTCGGCCCTGTCTGTCTCCTTCAGGGCTGGGCTACAACGAGGAGCAGATTCACAAGCTGGATAAGTGAGTGGCCTGTGCCCCGGCAGGCGGGTGAGCCGGAGGGTGGGTGTCGCCAGGGGACAGTGAGTCTCTGCCACACACGAGGCGGTAAAGGGCCCTGGCCCCAGGCCACAGCTGGGCAGGAGGAAAGCTGGGGGGGCACTCACCCTGGGGCGGGGGCGGGGGGTTTCTCAGCAGCAGTCTTGATGGAACTGGATTGACTCCTGGTATGGACACGATCGTGTGAAGGCTTTTCTTCCCTGTTGCCCTCGCTGATTAACCACGTACCTCCTGCTCTGGATTCTTTCTGCTCTAGCCCGGGCTTTCCTCTGGATGTCCTGCTTCTCTGGCTCCTGCATACTCTCTTCTTCCAGGAAGCCTCCCCGACTTCATACTTATTTGAGGACTCACTCTGCCAGTTCCATGCCCGCACCCCTGACTACACACACACACACACACACACACACACCCATCTCTCCTTCCCTCTGGGGGCTGAGCTCGAGCATGTGTGTGTTTCCTGATCCTTCTCGCACATCCCTCTGTGGGGTGTGCTGTGTGCTGGCCGCTCTGACCACCACCATGCATGTGAGCGAGCACCATCTCCTCCTTTGGGGAGGTAGCCCTGCTCTGGACCAAGGGGATGGACACCTGGGCACCGGAGGCCCTGGGATTCCAGGCTTCTTCACAGGTGGTTCTGGCTGCTCATCTCTGTGCCTCCGTTTCTGTCTTTTCAGGATGAATTTTAGTCATTTAGCCAAAAGGCTCCTGCTGGTGTTCCAGGAGGAATGTGTGCAGAAGTACCAGGCGTCCCTGGTCACACACGGCAAGCGAATGAGGTAACACTGGCCCTCCCTTCTGAACTCACGGTCCCCAGGGCCCTCCAGGCCTGGCCCTTCCTGGCCTCAGACAACCCTGGTCTCTGCAGAGCCCTAGCTGAGAGGGAGGTGGTAATAAAGGAACAAAAGCAACAACAAAGAAAGGTGGTTTTGTGGCCCTGGGTGGACGAGGCAGCCTGCTGGGTGATTTCTATGTTAACTCATTGAATCCCACAAGGTCTGCCCTCTGCAGTGCATACTGTCACCCCATTTCACAGATGAGGAAACTGAAGCTCACAGAATAGCTGTTTCTAGTACCTTTTTGTACCACACCTCTAGTAAATAGCAGACTCAGGACTAGCATGTGGGTATGACCGCATCTAAAATCCAGACTCTCTCCATCGTCCCAGGTGCCCCCTCCCTGGGGACTGAGATGAGGACACGTGGCCTGGGAAGCAGGGGCAGTGGAGCCCCGCACGCTGTCCCCTGTGGGAGTGTTTGGTTTCTGCCCGTCAGACAAGCCCCTCCCTGAGACGAGAGGGCCGCTTCCCAGGAGCTGCGGGTTCTGAGGATGGAGAGGAGACTCACCTTAGAAGACAGCTTCCACCTCCCCCACTGGAGGCCACCCCCAGTTCTGACCTGATGGTCTGGGGTAGGGCTTGCCGTCGGTATTTGAATGCTCCTCAGTGATTCTAACGTGTCACAGGGCTGAGCAGTGGTTGAAGCCTCCGGGAGCTGGTGTCCCTTTAGTGTTGTGGGGCAGTGTCCTTGCTCACTCCTTCTGCTTAGAGAGAGAAGAGAATTCTTAACAGTCTTTTTAAAGTTAATTAGTTTATTTTAATTGGAAGCTAATCACTTTACAATATTGTAGTGGTTTTTGCCATTCATTGACATGAATCAGCCATGTATTTACATGTGTTCCCCATCCTGAACCCCCTCCCACCTCCCTCCCACCCCATCCCTCAGGGTCATCCCAGTGCACCAGCCCTGAGAACCTGTCTCAAGCATCGAACCTGGACTGGCGATCCGTTTCACATATGATAATATACATCACTCTGGAAACGGGGGCGTCAGCAGACCCCAGTTTGAGCGCCCCAGAGCGGCCGGTCTGGCCTCTCCGGAGCCTGATCCAGGCCCTTGCTTACCCTCACTGGCGCGTGCGCCCCAGCCCGGGAGGGGTGTGCAGCCCCCACGGTGCTGGCTCTGCCAGGACCCTCGTCAGCACCCTTACTGGGACAGGCGTGGGCCAAGGGCGCCCACAGCCACAGCCTCTGCCCGGGAAGCCTCTCCGCATTGCCGGGCCCTGACGCCCCTCTGTTCTCTGCAGGCTGGTGCACGAGACCAGGAACCACCTGCGTCTGCTGGGCTGCTCCGTGGCCGCCTGTAACGCGGAAGCCCAGGGAGCCCAGGAGAGCCTCAGCAAGGTGCGGCGCTTCGGGGCCCCAGCCGCGCCAAGGAGGGCTGTGCCAGGCGGATGCCTGGGAGGCCTGCGGGCCATTCCCCTGCCTTAGGGCAGAGCCGTCCTCGACCACTCTGAGCACTCTGGTGCGGCGTGGAGGGCCTCTAACCCACCAGGATAGAAGGCAGTTCATACTGTCCTCAGAACAAGGCTGCTCACTGCAAGGGCAGAGGCTCCCAAACCCTGGGACATCTGGGCCCCGTGCAACCTGGGAGGCTCCCCGAGGGAGATGACCCGAACACTCCTTGGTCTTCTGATCTGTTCTCCTTAAAAAGACTAACTCAGGCAACTCTGGGAGGCCACTTGCTCTGCCAGCAGGGACAGAGAGGGGCTGTCCTTCAAGGAGTGAGGCCCACACGGCTCCTCCTCTCCCCAGCACTGGACACATTCTTTCAGAGACAGTGCTGGACTGCCCCACGTCTCTGCATCTAATGACTCAGCTGTGTCCTGACAGGTACAGGTCAGACACAGGGAAGCCTGACAGTCTGCACCCCATGCTCCCAGGAGAAGGAGGAGGGGCGTGTGGGAATTTCCTGACACTCCAGGGACGTGGGCTGGGGATCATTTTGTTACGCATTTTTAATGCCTCCGCACACCTCCACTGCGCCCAGCACCTGAGCTGGCTTATCCCTTCTGACTAAAGCGTGGTTCTTTCAGATCCTTGACCGACTATCTCACCAGCTCCTGCAGGACAGAACTCAGGGGGCTCCGGCCTCCCCACCGCCGACAGCTCCCTATCCCAGCTCTGCGCTGAAGGACCTGGTTCTCCAGTAAGTGCCAGAGAGGGGGGTGTGGGCGTGTCAGCATGTGTGTGTGTTAGGGGCTTTGCCTCCTGCCAGGCCCGGGAGGCGGGAACGAGGCCCGGTGGGGCTGTGGGGGAAGGGGAGCTCCCAGGAAAGGTCTAGGCAGAGGCTTGCCTTGGCCTTTAGCCACCACTGCTTCTCTTGCTTGGCCTTGAACAGCATGCAGGAGCTCTACGGGGAGATGAAGGTGCTGGCGTCTGACCTGCAGGACAACAACCGCATCATTGAAGGGTGAGGAGTCCCCACTCTGCGGGGTGTAGGGAGGCCGGTTCCCGAGCTGCACTTGCCCCAGGCCACAGGCCCCTTGCCTGCCCAGGCAGGTGTGATGACAGGGGTCCATTGTCCAGGGCTTTGACCTTGCCCCCAGGTTAGTCAGTGTGCTGACCAGGTGGAGGCTTTCACTGTGGTCTGAAGGATGTGGGTGGGCCTCAGGGTGGCGAGGGATGAAGGCTGGGAGGTATGCGGATTTGCAGCCGTGTCCAGCTCTGCGTGAACGTGGCGTCTGCCTGATGCCCAGACCAGCTCCTTTAACTGTACGACCTTCCTCAGGGGGGCGATGACCCAGGAAACGCAGAGCAGAGCCGGGAGAACTGGCCCAGGGTGCAGGCCCCGAGTTAGAGGCTCTGCGTTGTCGTCGGACGGGAGTCCACTCCTGAGCTGGGGGAGGGTGGAAGTCGGGGGGATACTGGCAGATGCCGCAGGGCTCAGCCTTTGGATTTTGGGTAAAATTCACAAAAGAAAGCTGGAGAATAACAGAGTGACCGGCTTCTCATATTACCAAGTAAGCACCATTGGAAGGGGGAAAAATGCCCTGCTATCTAGAAGTTTCACTTTCGAAGGTGCGTTTGAACACCAAAGAGAGGGAAGGACACAATCTCAGAAGCAAGGGTGGTCCCGTTGACACATACACACGCTCACACATGCGCGCATGCACCTCCCGCATCTGCCCCATCATCCTTCTGTCTGTCACCTCCCCATCTGGGAACCTCAGAGTCTGCAGAGATTCCTACTGTATGTGGCCTTGCCTGCTCCTCACCCTCGGTGCCACCCCAGGAAGTTTCTTTGGCTCTGAGCTCGACCACGTGCACAGAGAGTCTACCTCCTGGTGCTAATGAAGGGATTAAACGACATGACAGACGCAATGTGCTGGGAGGGAAGGGTGCACAGAGCCGGGATTCACTAAATGTTCCCTGAGGGATTCAGGGATTCACTGGTGTTCCCTGAGGTCACGCCAGGCCCAGGTGCCAAAACTGGGGCCAGGAGGTAGGGAAGCTGGGAGCAGAGCTCACGGCTGCTCCTAGAGTTTCAGAGGGTCCTTGGGTTGAGGAGGCATCCCATGTCGCATTCCGGCAAGAAGAGAACCCATCCTCTTAAATACCCACAGGGAGAAGATTTGACAGCTTCTTAGAAAGATTTTCCGAAACAGCCCTTAGGGACAGGAAGTTCTAATTTTAGTGCCGACATAAATTTTTCTTGCTGTGATATGTAGTCTATTTACAGAGAGCTCACATTTTTATTTTAGTGGATTTTTACTTCCTGATTCAGAGCTGTAACCAAAGAACCTAAAGAAACCATCTGAATTCTGTTTCCCCTTCTCTTCACCTGTGGCCGCATTGGAATCCCCAGGGGAGCTTTTAAAAGGCACAGATGCCTGGGTCTTGGCCTCAGGCTCTGACCGCTGCTTGGAGTTGGGGATTTTCGTAAGCTTTCCCGATGATTCTAAGGTGTAGCCAGGGGTGAGAACTACAGAGTTCTTGTGAGCGGACACAGACGCTCCGGGAGGACAGCGGAGGGCCTGATTGGCCCGCTGCCCCGGAAAGCTGATGGTGTGGGGCCCCAGGAGGGCCCTTCCGGCTTCTCCACCTGGGCGGGAGATGCTAACCGCGGCCTTTCTTTACAGGCTAAGCAGGGTCCCACTGGCTCCTGACATCTGAGCTTGGGGATGTGCACGTGGATCCTGAAGCATTACAGTCGTTCAAGCACTGCCCCGCTGCCCGCACTGGGGACCCCACAGGACGGTGCCGGGTCCACCTCACCAGCCTACCTCCCTCCTGGCTGACCACCGGGAGTCGCCAGCATTACCTTCCGCGGCCTTTCCAGGGGGCAGCGCAGCAGGCCCAGGAGCACCGGCCGGGTCCTGGGCTGACCTGCGCCCCTTCCGGGCCCGGCCCGGCCCCTCTGTCTTCCTCGCTGTGCAGCGAACCTGCCGGACCGCGGGGGCCGACGCGCCCCTCCCTCCCTCCCCAGCCCCAGTTTGCAGGGCTTCAGTCCTCAGGGAACAGCAGAGGGGGCCTCCCGGGGGCTCCCCAGCGTGCTGGGGCAGGCGACTCCAGCCCCATCTTCCTTCCTCTTCAGGTGTTTCGTGTTGAACAAACAGACCTCTCCCTTCACCCATGGCTGCTGAGCGTCACCGTCGAGGTCTCGGGCATGACCGCCCGATGTCCCGTTCCCTCCGGTCAGACTGAGCCTAAGCTGAGGAGCAGGGTGGTCAAGGCCGGGGCCTGTGTCTCGGGGACCTCCCCCCTCCCTCTGGGGCACCACCAGATTTGGGGGTTCGCAGGCAGACACCAGTAGCTGTGCCAGTTAGCACCAGCCCGTGAGGCCGGAGCCCCGAGGAAGTCAAGGCCTGCAGCTTTCAGAAATGAAATAAACAGGACTCTTCTGGGTGGCTGTCACTGGGCTGATTCGGGAGGCAGGGAGGGCTCTAGGCTGGGTGTGCCCGGGGATCTGTGAGGAGAAGGGCGAAGAGATGGAGGCAGGACAGCTCACCGCCTTTGCCTGAATGGGAGCCTGGTTTCAGGGAGGCCGGCCTCCTGCTGGGGTCTCTTTCCCGGCTCCCTGTCACCTAGGGAGCTGTGTAAGGGCCTAGAACTGGCAGGGAGGGTCTGTTTCTTTTTTTTTAACCTCCAAACCTCCATCCAAGTGCCTATTCCTTTCCACACACCCCCTACCACTGTTCAGCTGGTCCTAAATACCAGTTGAGCGCAGTCCTATGGGCCGTTTTGCACATCCCCTTTTTGCCTGGAAACCAGAACGGTGCCAGGGTGGGGCATTCAGATTTGTGCACGTCTGGTCTTTCCCTTGTAGGGTACCCCCCTTTCCCTTCACCAGAGCCGACTACCCCGCTGGCCTAGGGGTGGGGAAGGGGTGTGCAATTAAGTGGCTCCAGCAGGGGTGGGAAAGAGCGAGGAGCCCTACTTGGCGCTTTGAAGCACGAAGACCCAGGAATCCTTCCTGCCTGTCTTTCGGGAGCTTCCGCGTCCTCAGCGGCTGTTCCGCCCGATGGCCCCGCAGGGCGCATTGAGGAAAGCTGGGTGCTGGAGTTGGACGTCTGGGCCGCTCCTCCTTGGGAGGACCAGCGCCCTGTAAAGACCCGGGGAAGACTGCTGGGTATGCTTGCCGCAGGCTTCCTGGGTGCCTTCTGGGCCTCGGGCCGGCCGGGCTCAGGTCCTGGGTTCCCAGGAGCCAGCCGTGGGACACCGGGCCCCCGCCAGTCCCCCCCACCCCGCCTGCGGGAAGTGTAGGCCGACACTCCCGCCTCCTCAGCGGCCCTGCAGGGACGTCCCACGGCGGGTTTTCCCGGCAGCCGCGGCTGCTTCTAAGACCCTGTATGCTTGGTGGAGCCATGGAATCCCCGAAAGCCAAGTGCAGCTTTAGGAGAATGACAGGATCCAGGCTCTGTGAGCTCATGAGCAAAGGCCAGCAGGGGTCCGCAGAAGCGTCACTGATTCTGTGCCGCAGAGCCTGACGCGGGTGCCCCCAGCTCCCAGCCCAGCGGGGCTTCTGATGCCCTCTCCGCGGGGAGCTCGGAACTGGGCCCAGTTCCTCCAGAGCCTGGTGGGACGCCGCCCCCACCCATGTCTGATGACCTCTGTCCTCTGGTGATTCCTAACAGGAAGCAAGTGCAGCGCCCATTCAGGTGCCCAGACGTCAACGGGGCACCTGCTGGGTGCCAGGCCCTGGGAGGGGAGCCAGAGCTACTGGCAGCTAGGGTGCCGTGCCCGCCCTTGAGGAGCTCACCCCGATGCGGAAGGGCCCTTCAGTGTCACGGGAGCAGGCAGAGATGGGAAGGCACAGCTCGGGGGGCGGCCTGCGTCACCACTGTCAGAGGGCGGGCCTCAGGGTGCCGGCAGGGGTCAGGGAAGGACTCGGGGAGCAGGCGACTCCAGAGTGGGGTCTTGGCAGGCGAGCAGGGTTACCTGGCAGAGAAGGCACGGGAGGCATCCCTGGCAGGGGGCCCGACACCCGCCTCGGCATGCAAGGAACGGCAGGTATGTGGGTCACTGCAGAGCATGCTGAGGCGGGGAGTGGGCGTTGAGGACCAGGCGGAGCCAGACCCAGAAGCTGCTCCTTCGCCACACGAAGGAACTCAGGTGTCACTGCGGGGAGCCATGGAAACAGGTTTTTTTAGGTCAAGTGCAACTGGTATGGTAAAGACACCTGTGCCTGTGTGGAGGGTGGACTGAAACGCCATGCCTACAGTCCTCATTTGTGAAATGGAGACAGCATCTTTCAAAGCTGTGGGTAGGGACAGATTCTGCATTTCCACAAGGGGTCCAAAACACTCCCTGGGGTCTCTGCACACCCCCCCAGTCCCACCTCCCGTGGCTGAGGCCACTATTGCGGGCCGGGTGGGAAAACCGGGGCCCTTGACTCCCATTGGCCCATCGGTGGCTCTGGTCCGTCGCAAACCTCGGGGAAGAGTCCACGCAGTATTCGGATCGATGGTGAACATGACATTAGAACGGGCCGCTCAGTTCAAGGCGCCACCTGGAAGGAAGCAGGGGAGACGTGCCGGGGGCCCTGGAGGGGCTGTTGCCGCTTCCTGAGCCCTGGAGCCTCAGGGCGATGGTTTTTGCAACTCTCAGAATCTATGCAGTTTCCTCTTTACAGACAGGCATTCTGGTTCAAAACGCAGATTCGGGGGCCCTCCCCACCTCCTGATTCCCATCTGTGAGGGTGTGGCCCTGATGTTTCCCCTGTGATTCTCCCACAAGCTCTCAAGTTCAAGGACACAGAGGCAGTCTGCAGCCTCCAGTATAGGCTGTATGGACAGCGGGTACGGGCCCGTGGGCAGCAGCGGATACAGGACCAGGCGCCAGCCCACAGGCTGGGGAGGCCGGTCTCAGGGACAGCAGCCTGGCCCCCCTCCTGGGCCAGCATGTGCTCTCTGAGGCCGCCTCCCTGCGGCAGGGACAGCACCAGAGGATTTCCACAGCCGGTCGTCCGGGGTTCACTTCCAAGCTGCTTCAGTGATTTTGCAAAGGGTGGAATTCCTGGCTGCGTTTTGCTTCATCTCACACACGCACACACACCAAAAACACTCCCTAATCTGGCAACGCCATGGGAGGTGGTAAGGAACGAGCCAGCGTGACCTGAAGTAGCTTCAGTGTATTCTTGGAAGCTCAGAATCACTGCGGGCACTTGATGCAGTCCCGTCCTTTCCCTAGAGCCTTCATGAGGCTGAGAGAGAAGGATGGAGAAGAGTGGGAGTGAGGAAAGGAGGGAAGGATGGGGAGGGGAGGAGGGAAGGATGGGGAGGAAGGGAGAGGGATAGACAGTGAGAGGGGACAGAAGTGAGAGGAACCGGCGGAGGCCCAAAGGAGGGACAGGCGTGTCTGTGCACACACACATGCACACATGCTTCCAACGAAAGTGGCCCAGGCCCCTCTGCCCCTCTGGCTTGCCCCTGCCCTCCCTGGCCCACAGCTGCCGGCCACGGCGATGGCTTAGTCCTGGAACACCCGTGGCTGTGGCTCAGCAGCCCCCTCTGGCTGAGGGCAAAAGCTGCTGACAAACGTGCCTGGAATATCTGAGTTTTTCCAACACGGAGAGAAGAAACATACACACACAGAAACCAGCCTTATCATGAGCCTGGCAGAGCGGCTGGGGATGGAAGAATTCCATAACTGAGATAGATGGAGGAGGCGCCTCTACGCTGCTGGAAAACCAGCCCCACGCCCTCGTATCCGACAGAGTGACGCTGCCCCAGGAGCCCTCATGTTCCTGCTCCCACTGCCAGCCCGGATTGCCCCTCTGGCCACCAGGCAGCGTTGACCTAGAGGGTCCCCTCAGGAGCACTGGTGTTACACAAAAACCCCAAGCCCCTGGGAAGGGAGGAGGTGCCCCGAGCCCCCACCGCCGGCCAGTTACTAGCACACGAAGGCAGAGAATCCACCCCAGTGACCAGCAACTTTGGAGGACGTACCCAAATCCTAAATGGAGCTCCCAACACCACGCCGCTTCTCCCGGCTCCCACAGGTCCTGGGGGGCCTTCTATTCTCCCTAGACCAGACAGTTCCTTCATCTCCCCCTCCCTGGGTGCAGGGACCATGGCTTGAAGGGATACTAAGAAATAAATTCTGTATTAGGTACAGGTTGGGAGCCTACAGCCGAGTTCATTTCGCTAAACCTTTAACAAGCACCTCCTATTTACCCCGCACAGTGGCAGGAAGACTGACAAGTGAGGGAGGAGAAATGTGCAAACCTAACTGTGACTCATGTTAAGATGACATGGATGCAGGAGAAACAATGAGTTAGGGCTGGGGGACTCTGGGAAGACCCTATGGAGGGCCTGCTATCTGGACTAGAATTTGAAAGTTGAACAAGATTGCAACAGAGAGAGAAAAATGGGGAAAGATTTTCTTCAAACAGCACCTACAAAGTGAGATCAGAGGTTTTAAACGCTGCTATTTGGTACCACACCAGCTGGGCAGTGCCAAGGCAAAATCAGAGATCTCAGTCCAACCTGTGACACCTTTGGGGGCCAGTCACATGCCTTCTCCAACCCTCAGCTCGCTCATCTGTAAAACAGGCCTGCCAGCCACTTCACAGAGTTGCTAGGAAGATGAGGTCATTCAGGCCAAGGGTGCTTGCCATATAGCAGGTATTCCATGCGTGTTTCTAGAGTACATATGTAAAACACACTGCACGCTACAAGGGGCCGTCACAAACGCTTTAATTTCCCAACAAGGTCTGGTCACGGTGCCTGCTCACAGTCTAGCGATGAAAGGTGCTCCCCGCTCTCTGAGAGGCTGAGCTCTGCGCACAGAAGCTGCCGGGAGGGGAAGGAAGCCGTGAGGAAGAGGCATCCTCCAGCAGTTGCTCAGGGTAAGAGCACTTTTCCTCAGGTGTCTACGGAGGAGCTCAGACAGTCCCAACTGCCTGCTGCCTTGGTCCCATTTTCAGAGTGTGGTCTCTGAGTCATGTTCATCAAACTCACACAAGATACAAGCCAATGTCCAGACTTAGGGAACGGATCTCTGCAGGGAGGGTCTGGAATCCACATTTGGAAGAAACTCATGTTCATAGCGTTTGGGAAGCCTGGGGGGCCGTTATGCCTGCCGCTCCCCAGCCTGGACCTTCCTCGCTCAGAAGATGAGGGCTGGCTCCGCTCAGGGCTCTGTTTAAACGTCTGCCTCAGAGAGGCGCTTCTTGCCGCCAGTCCAGTCCGCCGGCCCCTGCGGCTCTCCGTCCCTCACTGCACGTGACCCGAGGCCCAGTCACACTCAGGTTGTCATGTCTGTTGGCTGACTCTCCCCCTAAACTTATATTTAGCTTCAGGAACACAGCCATTTCACTGTTGCACCTTTAATGCCTAAAATAGCACCTGAGATATAGTGGATATTAGCTGATCCTTGTTAATGGCAGGGAGGGGTCATTTGTGCTGTTGACCAAGCACTTCCAGTGCTCTGGCTATCCTGAGCACAAGGAAGGAATGCCCTTCCTGCCCTCCTTGTGGGGGGTGGGCTTTAGGACAAATTCTAGCCAACAAGGAGCAAGCAGGAGGAGCTGGAGCTTTCACATGCTGCTGTCGGTGCCTCAGCGATCTCTGCATCCCTCTGGTTTGGTGCTGGGCAACATGCTACGTGGCGGCTCCATCAGCCTGGGTCCTTGAGTGACTGGGGAACAAAGTCTCCCCACCAACAGGCAAGGGGGCATGTGATGTGGGTGAGAAAGCAGTCTCTGGTTGCAAGGCACTGGGACATGGGGGGTTGTTCACTGCAGTGTAGCCTGACCTGTCCTGACAGGTCTAGTGACCCAATCAGACTGTTGTACTGGCAGAATCACTGGGAGGTCCCTAAGTCCCTTTGGGGGTTTCAGGTGACTTCAAATGCCTCCAAGCCAGACAAACCCAGAAACTTCCCCTTCAGAAAGTCAGGGCACATTCTCTCCTCCTCTTTTCCTTCCTACTCGGAAGCTCCCTGGTGGGTGGGGGTGTGGGGTGGGGTGGGGTGGGGTGGGGGGTTAGGAGATAGCCTTGAAAAACTCACCCATGGGGGGAACCAGGAGACCACCTCTGCAGTGACCTCACACACTCAAACTCACTGTCAGCATCCTTCCCTTTGGTCAAAAGGAAAAACAGCACACCCACTCTACTGAGAGTGAGTCACAAGCAGAAAAAATCAGTGGCTCCAGGCCAAGAGGATGTGCTAACAAGGGGAGAAAACTCCCAGTGGAGGTGTCTCAGCAGATGCTGTGGTCTTGCCCTTGTGGCCGGCATGCCCAAAGACCAACCCGAGCAGTTCCGAAGTTCAAGCATCAGACTTACCCCAGGTCCTGACCCCTACCACGAGCCTGGAGTTTATTTAGTACTTCTCTGATGAAGGAAAATGGGCTGAGTGTGCGTGCACGCATGTGTGTGTGTGTGTGTGTGAGATGGGAGCAGATGCTCTTGGGGGAAGAAAGACACTGGGCTGGGAAAGATGACATCAGAAGAGGCCAGTTCCTGGCAGAGAGCCTCCTGCTGGGGTTCAGGAGAGGCAGCAGCCTCGCCTGACCTTTGCCTCTAGCTCAGGGAGATGGACTAGAAGATAAACTTGATACACTTTTCGTGTTGGTTACATGGAATTGTGTTATCTCCACTTTCATCTCCCTTCCGACCCTGAAGCAACATGCCTGCCGGAGCGCTTTCCCCCACCACTCCTCCAGATCAGAGCTGGGGCAGGACAACTAAACCAGAGCACTTTTCTGCCCAGCTCAGGAACCTGGGCAAAGGGGTTTAGGCCTGATAATTCCAGATAGTCCTCAGTATCCCAGGGCCAGAGGGGACACTCATCCTGTGAGCCTCTCCATCCTAGAGGGCTGGGCTGCCCAAACTCATGCTGAGGGGAGGCGAATGAAGAACAGAAATGGCCATGGCTGGCCATTTCACAAATGGCATTTCAAAACTGGCTCCTCAGTGACCCGCTCCCTGCCAGGTCCCTTCTCCTTGCCACACCAGAGCTTGAGCTTGGCCCACACCCTGAGCCTCACCCAGCCTTCTGCTCTACCAAGGTTGGAGGAAGTTATCTTCAAACAAGTCTCAAGCCTGTGGCCAGAGATGGATAATAGAGGGCGGATTCAAGCAAATGTATATGCAATACAGGTTCCTGCAACAACCTCTCGAGAACTGCTTGCAGAAGTGGGAGAGACAGGGAAAAAAGACCACAAAGGCAAATCGGTCTTTTCTGGGTCAACATCTGCCAGAAAACATTGCAGAATTAGCCCCCGCTGTATTTTTCTCAGTCATGTCCCACTGAACTTCACCTGCTCTGCAGGGCAAAGAGCAGAGAACCCTTTTTCTTCTTGCCACCTTCGATCTAAAGTAATAGTTTAGACCGGCAGCATCAGCACTGCCTGGGATCGTGTTTAAAATGCAGAATCTCAAACTGTTGCATGCGGGACGGGCACACAGCAAGGTTCCACTGCATAGCATAGGGAACTATGGTCAATATCCTGTAACAAACCATAATGGAAAAGAAAAAAAAAAAATCCAAAATCCCAAACCCCAGGCCCAGACAAACTGACTCAGAAACTCAGGGGGTGGAGCTCAGTAATCTGTAATTCAGCAAGCCGGCTAGGTGCCTGTGATGCACGGCAGCATTTGAAAACCACCGATGTAGAGAAAGCGAGGTTCAGACAGGGGAGAAGAGAGGTGCGGGAGGGGTGTGGGGGTGGGGGTGGCTCACAGGCCCCCATCTCACACCTTCTGCTTCATAGCTCTGAGCTCTTGCCACATTCTTGCCACGCACTCAGAAGCAGCCTCATGAGGTGAGAACCTTTGGTGAGACCCAGGAATCAAAGGATCCATGGTTGCCACCACCATGAGGGAGAAGCCGTGGGCCAAAGCAAGCTGGGCATTCCCTGGCCTCTGAGCTGTTGAAATTTTAGGAATCACCTAAAAACGAACTTCCAAGGGGAAATCCAAAAGCAAAAGTGAAGATTCCCCTAGAAGACACTAGGGGGAGACCCATCTCTGGCCTGGGAAGGGGAGGGAGCAACTCAAGTCTAGAATTCAGACCGTGTGTTGCTCAAGTTCGTTGGCTGGTGACCTCTACTAAATCAACCAAACCGACCCGCACCTTTCGAGAGGCAGGCAGTGACCACTGAGTCGGAGTGATAGAAGCAAAGAGGACGAGGACAGCATCAAGTGTCTGCTCACTCCCAATCCACTTTCCAGCTAAGGAAACTATAGAGAGGCCCCGGGGTCACACAGCAGGTCTGTGACGGGACACAGGCCCTGAGCCCCAGCAGGCCCGGATCCCCACCCAGGAGAGACGGGCCGGGCCAGTTACCTACTTGGTGCGACCAGGGTTAAAAAACAACGCTAGCCTTTTGTTCAAAAACTGTTAAGGCTTTCACGGTGAAGACAGGAGAGCATTAAAGTTGAAAGAAGGGGGGAGTTTGTGAAGCCTGTCCTCGGATTGATAAAAAGGAATCTCTCTCTGAGTCCCACAGACGGGCTGTCCACACCAGGTACAAAGCAGGGCTTTTGCAGGCGGGGGTGGAGGTGCTGGTATTTCCACAGTAATTACTAGAACAGCTCTGGGGAGAGGCAGATTTGACTTAGGAAGGAAAGTTCTCCCAACCCACGGGGCGCCGGAGTGTTCGCACAGACCTAGGATCACCAGAACTCCAGTCTTCCGGGAAAGGACTCTCCTACCGGCCAGGGCTGCTGCGAAAGGGGAAATCCAACCAGAGTGAATGTGGCGCGCGGACAGCCCGCTGCCATCAGCATCGGAAGCGTGCCCCGCCGTCACGGGACTCGGAGCCGCGGCCGGCCCGCGAGCCGGAGCTGGGCATCCCCTGCCTGCGCCCGGCTCGGCGCGCGCGGGGGCGGCGGACTGCGGCGAGCGCCAGAGGGGAACGGCCGGGGGACGCGTCCCTCCGGTCGGCGTGAAAACCGGGAGGCCAGCGGGCCGAGCCTGAGCCGGTGGACCCTGAGCCCCCATCCTCCGTTTCTGAGCCCTTCCCTCCGGCCCGCTTCCTCTTGGGGCGGGCTGGGGTGTGGATTGGGGGCGTGGGAACCTGGGGTTGGCGGGTGGAAACCTGGGGTTGGGGTGAAGGAGAGGAGAGAAGAGGAGGCGGAGGCTCCCACAGACTGCCTCGTCTCAGTTGTCCTGTGGCGAAGCTTTCCACCTGCAGTTCTTCAGCTGCCCCGGCTACCTGACGACAGCCCGAAATCCACACTCGCCCGGGCGTCCCCCGCTGCCGCCCCTGCCCCTCGGGCGGCCGGTGGTTCCCTCGGGTCCTCCTTCCTGCCTCTCCGAGGTCTCCCCGCCCCCGCCCCGCCCCTCAGGCTGCGGTCCCTTTAAAGGCGCGCCGGTCTGGGGCCGCCCCGCTCTCGAGGCGGACTCGGGAGGAACGCCAGAGCGGAGGACCGCCGCGGCCAGCCCGGCATGGCCATGGCGTCCCCGGCCATCGGGCAGCGCCCGTACCGGCTGCTCTTGGAGCCAGAACCGCCGCGCTATCTGCAGAGCCTGAGCGGCCCCGAGCCGCCGCCGCCCCCGGGCCACTCCTCGCGCCGCTGCGCCCCCGCGCCCCTCTCCACTGCGCCCGGGGCGCACGAGAGGCGCGGTGCCCGGAGGGCCGCCCGGGGGGACTCGGAGCCCCAGCCCCGGGCTTCCCGACACGCTCGCCCTCTCCGGCCTGGTCTGCAGCAGAGACTGCGGCGGCGGCCTGGCGCGCCCCGGCCCCGCGACGTGCGCAGCATCTTCGAGCAGCCGCAGGATCCCCGCGTTCCGGCGGAGCGAGGCGAGGGCCACTGCTTCGTGGAACTGGCGCTGCGGGGCGGCCGCGGCTGGTGTGACCTGTGCGGGCGAGAGGTGTGGCGGCGGGCGCTGCGCTGCGCTAGTAAGTGTGAGGGTCCGGGGCGGGGTGGGGGCGCGCGGCGCGGGAAGATCGCAGTCCGCCCGCGAGCGGCTGCGACCGAGCCGGCTGGGGCGAGCCGAGAGGGGGCGCTGCCCTCTCCGGCCCCAGGGGAGACCTGGATTTGCACCGAGGGAGGTAGCCCCTGGACGCAGTCTGCACCTTAGTGCCTGTCCGGTGTGCTCCAGTGCCTAGGTATGCTTATGCGGTCTTTAACAAACGCCTCTTCCTCTGACAGGTGCGCGCCTCGCCCCTCTCCAGATCAGCTAGTACACACACAGACACACAGACACACATGCATACACACACATGCACACACGCACAGAGGCTGGGGTTGATGCCTGATGCTACCAGATCAATCCCTTGTCTTCAGTGCCCTCTCTTGCTTTTTTTTGTAGCTTCTTGAGAGTGGGTCGTGAGGCCATTCTTTTGAGATGACCATTTGGCCCGTGCTCTAGGGTAATGGCAGATGACGTTGTTTGTCTGCATGCCTGTGGTACACCCTTCCTCCTGGGTGACCGGTGGGGACAGGGAAGAGACCTGGTTGGGCTTTGGATGGACAAGGGCCATGAGGCTTGAGAAGAGCATGGAGTGACCCTGGATCCGGCCGTCTCCCGCCTTCCACCTCTGGCCCCTCAGACCTTTGCCCTCTGCTCTGATGTTTGGCTGGGCCCTGCTTCCTCCTCTTCCTCCTACTGGCTACTGCACCAGGCATCAGGCTCGAGAATTACCCAACTACCTGCCCTGTCTCACCCTCCCCTGGGCTCTCAGGTTCCTCCAGCTGCCTCCTCTGAGCCAGAACCTTCTCAAAGCCTGACTGTAAAACACTGGACATCCACTGTATAGATTTTCTGAGCACATTTGCGGTCTTCTTGGGGGTTTGTTATTTTTCTCTCCGAGTAGTTAGGTGTGTATATTTCTTCAGTGATGTTTCTTTTCTTCGTTTCCTATTAAATTTATCTAGAAAAATAGATTTTCCTATTAGATTTATCTAGAAAAATAGATTTTTTTTTCCTATTATATTTATCTAGAAAAATAGATTTCTTCTTTTCCTATTCCCCACCCCACATTTGCTGTTGCCCTGTTTGGCAGACGATACCCACACCCATGTGCATATGTGTCTATATAGATAGTTTAAATATCTGAAGCACAAGGTGCAGACAATGGTACAACCTCTAGAAAGCATCTCTGGAAATGGCTTGGGGTTGCATCTTTCAGCCAAGCCTCTTCCCACATGACAGCCGCCCCGTCTCCCATCCAGCTGCAGCATTGTGCAGCAGCGACTATTACACCCTCCTCAGGAGAGCCTGACCTTGCCTCTGCAGTCCCCAGCCAAGGCTGTGCAGTGTGCTTCCTGCTGCAGCTGGCTTCGCAGAAGCAGAGCTCAGACTCTCAGCCAGGATCGAGCAGAAGAGGAGTGTGGGAGGGGGGAGTGGGTTCTGCTCCCGACACCATCAGAACTCAGTTCAGGTGCTAATTAATCAGGATAGGGCGGTAGACACAGAAATGTGAGGTGGGCAGAGGGCTGCTGCCCCTTGGCAAATTGCCCTGACCTTCAGAATCAAATGCAACTTTCCCCCAGATGTGTTTGCAGCTTTTGCCCTCTCAAGGGCCCTAGGGTACTTTACTGCCTCCCAACAGTAACATACAGAGGCGGTATCTTCATTGTAATGGGTTTTAATGTTCTGGAATCCTAGGAAAGCCGCTTCGTTGGAATTCTAGTTTGTATTAGGACATTGAGGACTTCCAGTTGGTCCAGTGGTTAGGACTCCGTGCTTCCACTTCAGGGTTTGATCCCTCATCGGGAAACTTAATATATTGCATGCGGTGCAGCATGGCAAAAACAGAGAAAAGTTTAAAAGCAAGAGTGAAAAAGACACTGGAGGACTGTATCAATTGTTGAACATTTGGCATGTAGTTTGTTTTTTTTTTCCTTTTTTTTTTTCCATTTATTTTTATTAGTTGGAGGCTAATTACTTTACAACATTGCAGTGGTTTTTGTCATACATTGAAATGAATTAGCCATGGATTTACATGTATTCTCCATCCCAGTCTCGCCTCCCACCTCCCTCTCCACCCGATCCTTCTGGGTCTTCCCAGTGCACCAGGCCCGAGCACTTGTCTCATTGGCATGTAGTTTTATGACTTGCGGGGTAATGGTGTCTGTGTGTTTATTTGTGTATATGCATGATACTCCATGATTAAATGAATTTATGCTAGGCTTCCCTTGTGGCTCAGCTGGTAAAGAATCCACCTGCAATGTGGTAGACCTGGGTTTGATCTCTGGGTTGGAAAGATCCCCTGGAGAAGGGAAAGGCTACCCACTCCAGTATCCTGGCCTGGAGAATTCCATGGGGTCTCAAAGAGTCGGACACAACCGAGCGACTCTCACTCTCATACTTTCACATTAGACAGTTGCTTGTGAAAGGAAGCCCCAGGTGAACAGGCATGTCCTCTGATATCTGTGTGACTTGGTAGCCCTCAGCTAGGTGGGTTAGTACCAGCCAGGGATGTCCGAACACCAGAAAGGAAGCAGAGTTGGAATAAGGGGCTACAGAGCAGAGCCTCTGTTTGTCACTATTAATAGTTAACTGATTGTGGACTTGCAGCTGGGTGGAAACAGTTGAGAAATGTTCTGATGGCTGGCAGGTAGAGACACAGCAGGCCAAACTCACCAATCATCTTTCTTTCAACTGAAGTTCTAATTTCATCGTGGGGTGGGTTTGTTTCATCTTTGTTTTAAAAAGCAAGGGTCAGAAACATGACTTTTGAAAGGCTGTGCTCTGCGGTGCCTCAGAGGACAGCCTGGAGCCAGCAGACCTAGGTTTGAATCCTGATTCTACCGATTAGTGTCTGTGTGACCCTGGGAGCCTTGTGTTCCACTTCCGTGTTTTAAAGAATTAAGATGATAGCATTACCTTCTCAGTTGTGTTCATGTGAGAATTCAATGAATTAATATATGGAAACGGCTTAGATCAGCGCCTGGTAGAAGGCAATATAAATGTTTAGGGCCATATGAATGTTATTATTATCCCCTCTCATCCAGCGGCTGTAACAATTTGCCTGGGCTCCGGACACTTCTTAGAATCACCTTTCCAAACAGTGAAAGCAGTTTTCCAACTCTGCTTGGCTGCTGAGCTGAGTGGGACAGAGGGTGTCCCGCGCACCCCAGGCGGGGCAGGGCAGGGCGCTAACCACAGCACCACTCCTGCCTGTTGTGGGCCTCCCACAGCGTGTTGGTGGCCTCGAGGTCCTCAGGACCCTGGCAGCTTGAATTTGTACCACTCATCCCCAGCATAGAGCACAGTCTCGTGGCTGATAAAGGCGGTCGCCTGTTTTTACTATTAGATCTCCCAGCTCTTGGAAACACGAGGAGGGACAGCGGGTATGTAAATGACATCTGTCTCAGCAGGAGGTTGACAATGGGTGGGAGCTATGTTGGCAAAATGGGCTTTTAATAAGGGAAGCTTTTAGAAAACTGTCTTCCCACAGCCTTTTCAGTGAAAATTCCTCTATCTCAAGCTTATCCCTACTTCAAGGACTGTAACGGAGCTCTGGTTAATGCCGCGTTTGCCAACAGGAGACGTTCAAAGTTGATATTCATTTCCAGGATTAAAGAACTCATGTTTATTAGATAGAGAAGGAAATCTGGTGGAGTTTGGGAGGGGGAGAGAGAGGTAGATTATACGAAGTCGTGGCGGGGTAGGGAGGGATGGGACAGTGGCCGTGGTGAGAATCTGTTTCCAGCATTTCAAGAGAGAATGGTCAATAACACACAACCCTTGGAACTCTCACAGACTGCCCTTTGCCTTTATTCTCAGGGAATGTTCCTTACAGGTTGTGGACCCTTTCTTTTACAGGAGGAACACGGAGTTAACCTTTCATCTTGTTTTGGTGGATGCGTTAGCCATCTTGGAGTAGGAGATGGTCTGGAAAATGGGAAAAGCTAAGTCCAACTCAACACTGAGAGAGGGACACTTGGACATGCCTTGCACATTACTAGTGGAGCGGGGCCTCTCTGGAGGGGTGTGTTCAGAGCTGTAAAGGGTTACGTGGTTGGGGTTACAGGGTGAAGGGGGCCCTGGGGCTCACCATCCTGACCTCCCCCTCCTGTGGGAGACCTGTATTATGGTGGGAGTGTGAGGTGTTTGCAGTGGAGCCTGCTGGCATGGGAACAGGGGCCTCCTGGTGAGAGCCCCTTGTCGAGCCTTGTAGCTCTGTCTCGTCACAGCATCAGTGGTCGGGCTTAACCCACCTCTCCGCACAGACTGGACCCCCATGTGACAGCCACAGAGTCCCACAGACCCAGCCCCTCTCTTCGTTCTTTGCAGAAGAGGTTACTGGGACATGGATCCTGAGTCTTTCTGTGGCAGACCCAGGAACCAGGGCACTTGGAACGTGTTTTATTTGTCCAGGACACCTGGTCGCACTGGAGCTTATGGCTTAAAGTTTTTTCATTAATTCAGGCCCAGGCGTGGCCTTGGAGGCTAGGAAAATTAAGCCCTAAAATGGACATTTCGTTGTGAGAGAGAGGGAGTGGAATCCCCCACCTCCCTTCCCTCCCCTGCCTCTGGCTCTGATTGGGGCTTTTTCTCGGGGAGAGTCCTGGTGGAGGGCTGGGGGAGATGGGAGGACAGAGGAGGGGCTGGAACACTTTGAGAGAGGCCGTTTGAGGCCCCCAAGCTGCTGTTCTCCGTTCCTTCTCCTCCCTGCTTCCTGTATTTTCACAAGATGAAAGTGAAAGGATTAAATGTGGGTTTAATTTTTTCCCCCTATCCATCAGAGCATAAAATTTTCTGATTATGGAGTAAGAGGGGCTTGAATCCCAGGTACAGTCAAAAATGATTAATGCCACTTGTCTGCCAGCCTAATTAGACTTGGTAATGAACGTGTGTGTTCTCCTGCTGATCCTGCAGAGTTATTAGGGGGAAGTGAATTGACATCTCCCCTTAGCTATGTGGGCTTCATCCGGGATCCTCTCTCTT